CTGAATGACCGTTGAATTCAAAGCTGGAAGTTTGCAACACGAGCGACACGCCCAGGCACATACACATACACACTGATGCATACACACATTTTTGATTAGTCATTTCCAGTGGTTCTTGGACAGTTGTTGCCCACTGTATTCCGATGAGAGACATCAAAATCGCTCGTTTCCATGGAATAATCCAAAAATGTAACCGAAAAGACAAAAAACTGAGTTAAGTAGAATTAGAATTGGAATGGCGATGGTTTTCAACTTGTGCTATAAAGCAAGAAATAAATCTGCGGTGGCTGAGTTTTATCCAGAAAGATGGATAAAAATGACGTATGCAATTAAGTGAAGCAAAAAATAAATTAATTTGAGCGGAGGGAGTCATATTGTGAGTAGAGGGTGCCAAAATTCCTAATATGTGCTTATATTAATTTTTTCTAAAATTGTTTATGACAGCGATGTTTAACAGTTTTCGGTGTATTAGTTTTATGGTGGTTTTATGGTTTTACTGTAATTTTACAGTTTTACGGTAGTTTCACGGTTTAAAAGTTTTACGGTATACTCTTAGGCTTACCGTAGCGACGCCCGGCGAGCGGTAATATACCAGTAATACCCTAGCATGAGATAGATATCCACATCGGTTGTGCATGCGTTTTTTAGTATTTGCGAAATGGCTTCAGCCCGTTCTCAGCTAAGAGGATTAAGCAACATTCGTTCATACAGGAACCACCACAGTTTACAAAAGCATTGCCCGGTGATATTGGCGAAGTGGAGGAAGGCGAGCCGTTGCATTTGGAATGCCAGATTGTGCCAGTCAGTGATAATACGCTGCAGATTTATTGGCTCAAAGATGGCAAACCCATTCCAACAGGTTAGTCAGCTTCCTGTAATAATACGTCGTAACACGCTTGGCCCAACACGTTGAGGCGTTGATGCTCTGAAAGCTGTTCCGTTTGGTTTTGAGCCCACTTAATTTCAGCGTCCTTATTACACGGGTACCACTCAGCTTTCTATTTGGGCACTGATTCGGTCTAAATCTTGATACTCAAACTTTGCTCTGTTTTTGCTTTTCAGCGATTCTCTGTTCTGCATTATCGCAAGGAGGCTTTTTCATCTATAATTCTCTAATTCAGGACACCGATTCCGCACTTTTCATGATTTTGGCTTCGTATCGCTAGATATTTTGGACGTTTATGCCGAAGACTCAGGCACGTACACCTGTGTCGCGAAAAACGCTCTTGGACAAGCGGAATCAACGATCACTTTCACGTGCAGAGGTAAATTTTCATAGCTCCCGTTCCCCTTTTTTTGTGTTTTTGAGTTAAAATTTTGCAGGGGACCACTTTCTTTGATTTTCCAAGGTAAGTTTGGAGATTTCGGAAAAATCGATATTCCGGGTGTTCAGAGGTTGCTGGACTTGTGCTAATTGGAAAGATCTGTGTATCAAGAAAGAATACCGCACTATATGCTGGATAACATCGAAAATAGCTTAATTTACAGTTGATTTGGAACCTCAATTTCAGCCAAGGAACGAATTCTTGGCCAAACACAACATCCAAGCAGCGTTGCGCGAATCCAAGAAATAGAAGCACCAAAAGCGGCTCCTGAAGAGATTCCGGATGCGGCAAAAGAAGTCAGTTTTCATGAATTTTTCTATTTCAAACAATCATATTCACCAGATCTCACGCTGCCGAGCTCTGCTGTTGCCAAGCAAACAGAGTTTCTCATTACAGGCACCGCGATTTATCAAACATATCGGAACTGGTGAAATGATGTATGTTACTGAAGGCGACAGTGTTTATCTGGAAGCACGAGTTTCGCCGGCTGATGACAACTCGCTAACCGTATGTTTCCCTTATTTTCCCGTTCTGTGTTGTTTTAGTATTCAAAAATCTCGTGAATTAAAGAAGAGCTGGGCATGTAAAGTGACTTTAATTAGGTTTTTTTTTGCGATTCCTCGAATAAATTATAGAAATGAGAATCCATGATTCCTCTGCCAGATAGCTAGAAAAGATTGGTTTCTTTTTTTGTAGCTAGCTTGGCAAATGCATGCAATTTTGTGGATCAAATGGCCAAAAGAATTTAGTTAATATAATTCACGTTTCAGTACGAATGGTTGCTAAATGGTAAACCATTGATGAAAGCTCATCGTTTCGTTCTCAGCCATGATTTTGGATTTATAGCCCTCAATATTTTGTATATGTATCCAGAAGATAGCGGTACTTACACGCTTGTTATAAAAAATGCCGCTGGTGAAGCCCAGTCTGTAGCCGATATCGATTGCGCCGCCAAGGGTAGCATGGTACTCTTTTTCGTTTCGCATTTATCTTAATACAGTATCGATAAGCTGTTATTTTATGTACCGAAGCACATCTGGCCATCAATTCACGTGGCGTGTTTTCCTTGCAATCGAAACTACATCATTTGGTGTTCATATTTCCGCACTTCGTTTTTTTTGGAAACATTCGCAACAGATATCGCACCCCCCTATGCCCACTGTATTGCGCTTTAGCTCAGTTAGGAGCGATGTTCGTGCATTCCCCGTTGGCAGTCACCAGTGGTGGGGTGAACTTGCTAAAATGTCCTAGAACTTCTCCGACAATGTCCCTTGTGCCTCAGATCGAAACTGCAAAGATATGTGAATTTACAGGAAGTGCGGGAAATGATTACCTGGCCGTTGAGGAATTACTTGATTTTAAAAATTTTCGAACATGTTCCGTTAAAAAAAAGTGTCGGAAGTGTAGTTTTATTACAAGCTGAGTCGGCAGATTTCTCTCACTTTCGAGTTTTTCATGCTATCATTTTATTCGCGTGAATTCCTGTGAGTTTCAGATAACTGAATCGTTCCATCCCAATTCAGTCCAACGTATTCGTGAGCTTGAAATGCCACTGCAACCACCAGATGAGCGACCAGAAGCTCCCAGAATGGCACCGCAAATCGTACGACCTTTGCCACCGCAGCTGGATAGTATTCACGAAAGTCAAACACTGCATTTGGAGGCCCAGATCCTGCCGGTCGACGATAATCAGCTTAAGGTGAGCTCATCGCACTTTGTTCTGTAACTTGTAATCCACAAGCATTTAATGTTTAGCAAAAATACCTGCGAAATTCCGTATTGTGCTTTCTTACTTATGCTTGCCCCTCCTACCTTGGAACTATGTAAAAACTAGGAATAGAGTTGTAACACTGCTACTTAGAGTTACTTTAGTTTAGAATTACTTTAGGCTTTAATTTAGTTTTAGCTTTGGATCCAGGCTTGTGCCACTTGGGGCAAGGGGCAAAAAACCCTTCATCCTTTTCTCCCTCTCCTGGATCCACCCATGTCCTGAGGGGACTAACAGTTCAGTGGTTCCGAAGACAAAAGCAATGGGCATAGCTTTAGTCGTTTTGACATGTCTTTCATACGTGTTCGCCATCATTACTGTGTCCTGTTACCGGTTGTAAGAGATTTCATGGAGATTTTGATGCTGCTGAGGTTATCCATTCTTCTGGACTTGCTGATTTCATTTGTTTGCGATTGCATCCGCTGCGGATGCGTGCGATTATCACTCAGAGTATCGCTCTTGTGATCATTTTCTGAACGATAAATATAACTTTGACAGGGCAACCAGAGAAAGCCTTTTAGGTTGAATGGCTTCATAATGGTTATCCATTGAAAGCTGGTAGCCGATATCGCTTAATGAACGATTTTGGTTTTGTTTCACTGGACATTGACTATGTGATTCCAGAAGATACTGGGACATATACGCTGGTTGTTACAAATCCAGAAGGTTGTTGATTTGCTCCAATTTTTGTTTTCCCAGATCTTGCTCGAAACTGTTAGGTGATAGCCATGACAGCAAAGTGTAATTGAGCTTGTTAAGCAAAAAAAAAAAAAATGCTCCAACAGAGATTGCTCTGATACATTTGCCAGCTGCTGTTTTATTCGCAGCTAGCAATGTCCTGTTTTCTTCTGAACTTTCGGCATCGAGGTAACTCCGTGTGGGTTTTTTGGCGTCATTGGCGACAGCCTTCTTGGTATTTTGTTTAACAATTAAGAGTAAGCTTTGCCCAGATTTTATTTCTTGTCCTGAACTATATGACCATTTGGGCTCCAATTTTTTTTACCCTTACTTATTTCCTCAAATGATGAATCTGGCTGTCATTGGACTACTAATTTACTGTGTTAGATCTGAGAGAGTTGTGAAATCGCGAAAACAACCGTGAT